CACCATTTTTACTGAAGGGGTAAAACCGCTTTAACTGTCATAAAACCAGCCCGCTTCCATGAAACCAACATGTTTTCAATAAGTTTGCACTCTGTATCAAGGTAAAAATTAAATTGCCAAAGGACGTCCCTTCTCGACCGGTCAATGAACTTGATAAAAAGTTCCCGAAGTGCGCGCTAGTGCGATCGACTTTATTCCTCCTTTCTTTTCATACCTAAAACTACCCCGGAACACCTGCAGCGAAAATGGAGGGAATTATTTGCATGTAGAGAGGCTAGGCGTTGCTTTCTGCTTCTTTGCTGTTTGTGTGTGTGTGTGTGTGTGTGTGTGTGTGTGTGTGAGAGAGAGAGAGAGAGAGAGAGAGAGAGAGAGAGAGAGAGAGAGAGAGTGAGTGAGATGTGCGTGTGTGTGGTGTGTTTGTGTGTTGGTGTGTGTGTGCTTTGAAAAGTTGAATTCAACATTTCAGGTGCTTTGTGAAGATGGCTCACTTTTACTAGAACTAAAAACATGACTATTAATTTCTTTACTTATTTCTGAATTTTGGGGTTTTCAAACCTAATCACTCTTACTTTTTTGATGGGGGGATTATATGCTCTCAATATTTTATGACTATGCTTTTGTTGTGGTTTTTTGTTGTTGGTGTTATTGATGTTGTTGTTGGGTTTAGCTCGTATTGTTATTGGGGTTTATTTGCTTTTAGGTTTTGTGCAAGGTTATTCATGTCAACTGTTGACGAATCTTTTGTTTTATCCCGATAAAAATGTCTAAAACGTTTGGGTTTTTTATCTCATACTTAAAATTCAAAGCAAATGTTTCTTCTTCTTCTTTTCCGTGGTTGGGACAACCGTGGGGGCGCCACTGCATCTGACAACCAGCTCTCGCCATTTCTCTCTGTCCTCTGCTTTCCTCAGATTGTCACCCATCGTCTTCCTTGTCCACTCTGTAATGTTGTCCTCCCATCTCCCTCTCTGCCTTCCTCTCTTTCTCTTTCCTTGTACTGTTCCTTGTAGAATTGTTTTGGCAAGTCCTGTGGATCTTGTGACATGCCCATAGGACTTGTCAAAACAAATTACATATTGTAATCCATGTCGACTTTTCGTCTTTTTCAGAAGTTATACTTTCGACGGAAAATCTTTGTTCTTGCATGTGTATCAATATCACTGATGCGATGCTGGAAGAAAAGAAGAAAGAAATAGAGGAAGAATTGATAGTTGATGTGAGAACCACACACAAGACCAAAACTAAGTGAGTCTGTCTATCTGTCTATCTGTTTGTCTGTCTGTCTGATTGTTTGTCTGTCTGCCCGTCTGTGTATCTATTTATATCTATCTATCTATCTATCTATCTATCTATCTAGCTAGCTAGCTATCTATATGTCTGTCTATCTATCTATCTATCTATCTATCTATCTATCTATCTATCTATCTATCTATCT